CTTATCAATTTAGTAGGGCACATGTCCAACACTGAAAAACACCCCACCTTTCAGCCACAAGTGGGATTTAGAAGAACACTCAGACATCCGAAGAACACATAAGAGCCGAATTTCAGATTGCTAAAAACACTCTTCCCACCAACAAAACAAACTACTCCCTCTGTAGCTATCCCTTGGAGCAACTTCATCAAACAGTAAAGGGAAAAATGCCAGCACTAACAAAACCAGGTAACTGAGTGTACATACCTTATTGCCAGCTCGCCCAGTGCGGCCTGCTCGGTGCACATAGTCCTCATAATGGTTGGGACAGCTGTAATTGACCACCAGCATCAGCTGCTTCACATCCAAGCCCCTCGCTGCTACAGACGTGGCCACCAGAAGTTTGCAGGTTCCATTCTTGAAGTCATTGATGATGCTGTCCCTGTCATACTGATCAATACCTGCAAGACAAATCAGTTAATTATAAAAGTTCTGCTTTAAGTCATGAGAATTTGTACACAGGTCAAAACACCCTCTAACTTCAAACAATCAAAACCATAAGCAAATAAAACTTCAATACTTTCACAGTTTTGAAGGCAAAATACATTAGCCAAAATAACCCCTATTATTTAGAATAGCTTTTAGTTTTTCAACTATCAAAAGATGATTTCCCCATACCAAGACACTCAAAACGTTTTTTAATACTATTTTATATTTTGTACTTCAGCTGAGACCGCATCTGGAGGCTTTGTTCTTTAAAGGCAACAGAAATCTCAGAAGAACAAGAATATTTTTCCCTCCTCCACTGCTGCATTCCTCCAGAACACTGATTTGTAGTTACTCATTTTACATAAAATGCTCTAAAAAATACTGTAAGTTTTAAAATACACTGGGATGGGACAGCATTGTAAGGAGATTTTTCTCCTCTTGCTACTTACATTCTGTACTATTTGACAGAAGAAAAGTAAAGTGACAGCTGCTGCTACTGTGGAATCTCAAATAAAAATATCATGTGATACTCTCCCAATGGCACTCACTACTCTACAATAATGAGAGGTGTTAACTCTCAGTAACAGCCCTCTTGCACAGACACAAGATCTGGCATCCGATGACATCTCAAAGAGAACAATGAGGAGTAATTACACAAAATTATCATGTCTATTTCAAATTAAGAGACAACTATCCTCCCCAACTACAAAGCAAAACCTGCTTATGAAGAAGTAATAATTGGTATTATACAGGAACTAAGTGATACTGGATACCAACACCCTAGCTATTAGCTATTATATAGTTAAAATAAATCCTTAAATTTGAAGATTACCTCCATGAAGAGACAAACAAGGATAAGAGGCCCTCATTAAATCTTTCAACAGGCCATCAGCATGTTCTTGCTTATCTA